GCACTTATCTACAGACTCCAGCATGAAGGAGTTCACGATAGAATGGTGGTATGCTATTCAGTTTTAAAGGAAGGCTATTCGTGGTGCACAACAGCTGCTAGTATAAGACATTTTGCTTGCTTGGATGAAGAAGTAGTCAGTGAACTTAAAGCCAAAATGATCAGTATTGCCATAAAGATATCTTTGAATATAATTAAGTCGCGTGGCGCTGATACGTGTGGGGGAGATGGGTAACATTTTGTCCCCCCTTTTCCAGAGGAAGATAAAGTGTTTTAGTGTTTTAGTTTTACACCTTTGGGGCTCTGAATTTTAAAATAATAGCTCGTTTGTAAATCTTCAAACAGATAATCACCAGCATGCAACGTTTTGGTAACAATCGCATTAAAATAGCGATGCTCAGTTTTGGAATTTGGAAACATTATAATGTGACTGGACAACCGTCTCCTGTTATACTGAGTAAAAAACAGCTATGGAATGGTCCAACTTGTATATTTTTTGGAGGTGTTTTTGTTGAGGTTGGGCGTTTGAAATCTGGGGAAGGCATTAACCGTTCAGGAAAACGTGTTTACCAAAACAGAACCGGCATGAATAAAATTATGTGTAAAAAACGGGAAATTACAAAAACAAAATTACGCACTTTACGCCCGCCCCTATGTTTTGAAATGGTCGACCTCGTATTTACAACATCGACGTTTTAGCTCTGATGGACGGAGTATGTACCTTTAAACTCGGGGGCACTACATTTATTCGATAGCATGCTGTCAGTGAAACAGTCTGGGTGTACACTGTGTACACCGAGCCTCGGCCAGATGCACCGTGGAGCTAGACCACATTTCTATGTTCTGGAAGGACCTGGCCGGAGATTCATGATTGAAACGAAATAGATTGAAACATCAAACTATTTAATCACATAGCAGCGTACAGTGGAAATGAACTGGACGAATAGCCACTTTATTCATAAAATCCAAAACATTCGTACAAAATAATTAAATGTAGGTAGATAAACAATTCGAATAAACAATATGTGAAAATATAATGTTGTATGACAAAAATCGGATTATCTGCTACCTAAATTGTGACCCGCGGGACCCGACGACCTGACCCGACCCGATGCGACCTGACCTGCGTAATGTACCTGCCGGACCAAATACATAGACTGGCCCAACCATGACAATTTTATAATTCATTCTTGATATCCAATCACGACTGGTCAATTCTGAGGCGTAATAATTGCTATTAATTATTCATGATATGCAGTGACGTTATTGGACACCCCTGGAACACCCATTGTTTCTCAGAAGACTAAAGAATCAACGAATCAAAATTCAAGAATCAACGAATCAAGATTCAAGAATTGTGCAATGAATATTTTTAATTGCTATTTTATTTGCAAGAAATAGCGTTTTTTGTTTTTCAAAAATTAGGAATTAGAATATCCAAGAAATGTAATTCATGCATTCTAGCCTCAGCTCTCACACCTAATGATTTACGTTGGTTTAATTCGAATCTAAAACTGTTAATCACAAAATGTTTTCTTTCACGGAATGCTCATAGCAGAAGGCAAGACCAATCTCCTTCCCATAGGTCTTTGCGCTTTACACAATAGTACCTCTGCCACAGGCAGCCTTCAATTTTGTGGTCAATCATCTCACTACGCACGGTCATTTTCCTGTAGCTGCTACATGTAAAAAACGTACTACAAAAAGTGGAAAAAAACGTATGTGACATCCGAACTATTTATTAATGTCAGACTTCAGTAAAAACGTAAATACGAACCATTTTATCGCGGGCTATGTTTTGCAAGGCAATGTTACTGTAGTGAAATGGCGCACGTGATACACTACAACTGGAAGAAAAAACGTTCTGTTATCGTATATAGTTGGGTTCAGGTCCACAATATGGGTATGTAAAGATTAAATCTATGCAAAGCATTGTGTTTATCCAGTCAGCGATCCTTAGGAGAAGCATTTCTTAATTCACAAACATCAAGGTTAGTATTGAAGGGGAGCAAGGGGGTAGCTGGTACAGTTTTACGGGAAATAAAAAGGGCTTTTCACAATTTAGAAAAAAAAGAAGATATTTTTACAGTTTACAGTGAAAATTGAATTTTGCAGTGAATTGTGTCATCTAGTCGTTTCACAGTTTCGAAAATGTAATTTCCCTGGATTATTTTTTACGACTTTTTTTATTTGGATGTAAATTCTTGTACGTACGGAGAAAAATGACACATTTGTACAGTGTACGAAAGAAATATTTGATTGATTACGTTGTACGTCTAGCCTGTGATTACAGAATTACCGAATTTATATTTTTAATTTACGTTGTACGAACAAAAAAATATTGCAATTACGTTGAACGAAAATAACCCTTGCCCCCCCCCCATTGAAGTATGGGGGGAAATCACATTATGTGTAAATAACTAATCAAGTCATCACGTCTTTATTGTTCATTCTACATAGTTACACAAATGATTGTTTACAATAATGCAGTTAGCTACTACAGACACGACGAGTTATAATGTCAAAGACAATTTACTGTAGTGAACAAAAATGACTACATAATATCATAATATAAACTAGCAATATAAAAATATCACTCACGCATCGTATATTGCCTCGTTATGTCCATAATTTTCAAATTATATTTAGAATTATTTCAAATGTATCTTTTTAGTAATATATATATACATTGTGCACACCAGGGAACATAACAGTTTAAATTATAACAGGACACTGTATTAGATTACGTAAAAAGATAACATTCAAGTGTTTTTATTTAGATTATGGTAAATATATAATAATCTTTTTTTGTGGGTTATTTTAGTATTCTGCATTCCATGAAATTAATTATTGAATGCCCATATCCGTTCACTAATAAAAACGTTAGGCATTGGTCATATACATGATTCACTATAAATGCATGGACACATAATAAAACGCAATGCAATAATGCAACACCCATTATTTATATGTTTCCGTATAATATATTAAATATTATTTATAAATTTGTTGTCTAAATATTTCAAGGATATACAAATGGGACACTTCTATTGTTAATCTTCGAAATCATCTTCGTAATCTTCAAAGTCGTCTTCGTAGTCATCCTCAAAGTCGTCATCGTAACTGTCATAAGAGCGTTCATCTTCCACACACATTGGCCTAAGCTCTTCAGCAATCGATTTCAGTTGGTGATCTTCTAATAATTCTGCCAATTTGCCACATGTTGCCGAGGAACTATCCTTATAAGCCCACATTTTCAACATCTGGTATTTCTGCTCCCTCACTTTGAAAGGGTTGTCTTCAACTATATGATCGATTTCGTTCCCAATAAGTTCGAGCCTCTGTCGACCAAAGTTTTTCCAGTCATTAACTGGTAATTTATCAGCAACGATATTGATAGCTTTCTCAAGTGTAGAGGTGACCACCTAAAAAGGTAATCATATGAATTGATTTTCAATAAACAATAGTGACTGATATATATATATATACATTTAGATGAGATTTAAATAAATTTAAACATAAATATGTGGAATTAAAATTTTAAAAATCGCATAAACGAACACATATACATGATTCGAACTCACTACTGTAGCTGACGCACTATCCGTTATGCCAATGGCGGCTGTGAATGCATACTCACAATGACAAAACCTGAACAAATGTGATACAATTAGAGAAAAAGTAGTGGGTTTACGACTTGGTTTATTGATTGCTTTAACACAAAACGTCTATGCTACATTACTGGAAATATGAATCATTGGTTTCAATGATTTTTTAAATATATAACAAAAACTCACCCGGGAGTGGATCCCACTGCCTGGAAGAGAAAATCCCAGTTCTGCCAATAATTCATTTTTAATATTACCATGAGTCCTTTTTAATTGTCCCTTATAGAATTGCATATGTCCAAAAGAGGTGCCAAGGCCCGGGAGTTCTGCTTCTGGTTCTACTCGCACGTTCCAGTGATTGTACGTATGGGATGGATAGAAATGCCCACACTTTGTTTTTGTTACAATGCGGAACTGATCAGAGACATTCAGTGAAACCAGACCACCGTTAGCCATCTGTATATCACGACTAAACTGAACAAGACCAGTTTCGTAGCCCCTTTCTTTGAATAGTTTCACTTGATTTTCTAATTTCGACTTTTCTACTAAATTGACAACCATTTCGTGGCGGTCTGTTTTCTGCTGTAAAAGTAGTATGTTCATCATGTGTTTTCCCTGTAGAACATTCATGACAACCTCACTGCATACATTTTGAACGTCGTCTTCAAGAGTTTCACTTATATGTACGGCTGTATGACTGAAAGTATAATACAAATATGCATTAATTATGAATACATATATATGTAACATTGAACTTAAATATTGTGTTGATCAATCAATCAATGTCTAGCATAGAGTTTCCTAGACCAATTGTTAATGTGATAACAACGGATGATATTTGTTATTCGTGTGTTACTTCTCCAAGCCAGTGAATTTAAAAATATGTTACACTGCCCATATAAGTCCTACTAATTTAGTAGTTGTATTGAATTTAGCGAAAAATATCGGACCGTGACTATTTATTAAGTACTTGTACTTAATGATAAGCATTTCTCAAACAAGTAATTTAAATAACAACATATCCAACCATTATCTATAATCACACAAATTAATGACAAGCACTTGACAAGTTAAAGCACACGTATTTCAAAAAAGTCAAATATTTCACAAGTAAATAGTAAAACCACTTGGTTACATAGTGTTTTAAATGCCACACTGCTCTCAATTGTAGTGTTATTGCATAAGATACCACGAAACTCACCTGGCTACATAGTCAGTTTCAAATGACACACTTCCACCACTTGTAGTGTATTTGGTTTGAATTGTGATATCTTTCCATCGACAACTGCCATCTATGTCCTCAAGAATCTTCAACAAACTGTCTTTCATATTTTGCAGGATTGGTGGTTTAGGGATGGTGACGATTGCAGACTCGTTTAGTTTGGTGTTACCTTTTTCCTGCGCATTTGCTACTAAAACAGGACTAAACGATATGAATGTATTCCTGTCGGTTTTAGTTATGTTTTCAACAAGAGCAGTGTCGGGTTGGTGAACCTGGAAAACAGAAGATAACATATGATGGGCTTTATTATTTAGATGGAAACAAGAAACTCAGTAGGCATAAGTTGTAAGGCTGTAAATTGATTCCAGCTCAAAATGAATAATCTTACATCATTGTATCATCCTTGACCGTTTTGGTTTCGAAGTAACCTAAAATCTTAACTACTACAACGACCGACCACATTAGGATTAACACTGTCCTGCAAACATGTTTGATTTGTGAAACTCAACATTCGAGGCAAAATGTCATAAACTGTGAGCCAAACCAAGAAACAAATATGAAAAGTCATTTCATATGATAGGAAGGTGGCCTTACAGGCTATACAATTTAATCTACGTTCTTTAGCAAGTAACATGGTATGTGAACACGAAATAACACCAATAAGAATGTACATATGATCAATAGATGATAACCGTGCTTAACAATTATTATGCAAGGTTGATTATTGTTTCATATGATGTAATTCTTCTAACCTCTATATTCAAGCGCATGTTTGTGTTGGTGCTGTTTGGTCGAATTTCCAAAGAGGTGTCCTTTGCTGCATCTGATTTCCATGTTAAGCCCTCAGAGTCAATACTGATTGAATCGCTAACAGGTCTTGATACAACCATAAATGATCCAAAATTGGTTATCTCTGTGATAAGTGTGTTACTGTCCTAAAACAAAATTAATATATGAAATGAATATGGACCATTCATTGACTAACATCAAGTTTTGATCCATTGATATTCCGATGACTATTACAAGTTGCTATATATGCTATATATATACAAATATGTGATTATAATTAGGAATGTTGAATGATAGCAATTCTAGTAGTCACTTAGTGTAAATACTGAATGATGATCTAGGTTAGATGACACTAAATACACTGTTGAACATGCTTGACTGTAGTATTTATAGGTACCTTGATCGTGGATGTTTCATTCCATGTCTCACCATCATCACTGTGCAGAATCATAACTTCATTTGTTGTATTTTCGGATATATAGTTAAACCCAATTATAACTGGTTTGGATAATGACAAGGGACGTTTCAATTTAATTTCAATGACTTTCGATTCAGGCCACCTGTAACCTTTCTTTCCGTCCATTGTGACATCGTCTATGCTGAACACCTGTATTTCAACATCATCCTTGGTTGCTCTTGGGGGTATCCTCAAGAAAAAGCCATCACCTAGGCAATAGTCCTTTGATTCCTATAGGTCAGAAATCGAATTTAAAAAACATTTGTAGTTTATATTGTAGATAGATTTCACTTTCAAAATGTCTAACAGTGTTCACTGTGCGCTCTCTTAAGCCATCTACTTTAAAGTTGTAGGTAGTATGTTTCCAGTGGTAATTCTTGCGATTGTGTTGTTGTGCCTGTAATTATTGCTATTATTAATTGACCATTCCTAACCGGAAAATACAACATAGACACACGTTTGAGCTTACCTTGACATTGCCATGTATTACAAACTGTGTATAAGAATCTGTTGATAAATGAAACATGCACAATCATCATTAATGGCAGAAATATTACTCACACTGTTGTGTTCTAACAGTACCATGTACTCAGTAAATTGTCACATGTATTGATCACTACTTACCCTCATCATCACTGTCACTAGTGAAGCTGCTGTATGAATTTGTGGAGTATGGGCTGGACATTCTACTCTCATTGTCACTTTCTAGATTCATTGGATTACCATCAAGCTTTACAAGACACTTTGGAAGGTTTTGTACTGGTTTTGGTATCTTTCCCAGGTGATTGTCTCGTATGTCTAGCACCTTAAGTTTGCTGAGATGACCTATATAAAAAGATACATACATGTGAAGCACTGACATGATAAACATGACCTCCTTATCCACATTGAACTTGGAGATAATAACCTTAATTAATAAATCATCCACGATAAAGAGAACAAGAACACATCAACTTATCATGTATTGGTTATATACATAATACCTGAGCAAATAAAAATATGTATGAACATCAAGTGTATATAACTGAGAAAACGCATGAGTTTGTCTGGTACTTACCAAGTGCTGAAGGTATATTCTGTAGACTACTTGATTTTAAATTCAACTCTTCTAAATTATGCAGCTCACTTATATTTTCTGGGAGTGTGCTTATATTGTTGGAGGCTACATTAAGCACCTTTAATTGGTGTAATTTACATAGAGAAAAAGGTACTTCCTGCACTTGGTTGAAAGATATATTCAGCTTCTTTAAATGTTTAAGATGTGATATGCCAGACAGTTTGGTCATATTGTTGTTGGACATATTCAAATCCTCTAATTGACTAAGTTGATTTATAGCAGCTGGCACTGCGTTCATCTGGTTGTGAGACAAATTGATCTTTCTTAACTGTTTCAGTTGAGATAGATCAGATGACAGCGATATTATCTCATTACTTCCCACATTCAATTCTTTCATAGACTTCAGTTGATAAAGTGAAGGTGGCAGTTCCTGCAGTTTGTTGTCAGATATATCCAGTACCTCTAATTCTTGTAGTTTCGAAACATCTGGTAGTGGCGATGTTATTTTATTGTGTTGCAAATCTAATCTCTTTAACTGTCGGAGTCGATAAATATTGGGTGTTACATCTTGTAACTGGTTATATGATACATTTAATACCTGTAATTGGTTTAGTTCATGAATATCAGGTAGTATGGACGATATTATATTATTTCCAATATCCAGCTTCTTTAATCCCTTCAGTTTATAAACAACAGGTGGAACATTTGGTAGTTTATTGCAGGAAACAATCAGCACTTCTAACTGTGTTAGCTGAGAAATTTCTTGTGGTAAAGACGTGAGCGCATTACTTCGCACGTTTATTTCTTTCAGTTTCTTGAGTTTGCAAATAGATGTTGGTATTTCGTGTAATATGTTGCCAGATACTACCAATCGCTGTAACTGTTTAAGCTGGCAAATCTCAGCTGATAGATAAGTTATTTTATTGTTTCTCGCGTCCAATTCCTTTAACTTTCGAAGATTGTATAGAGCATTTGGAATTCCCTGTAGATTGTTGCCAGATACAATTAATGTTTCCAACTTTTGCAGTTGGAAGATTTCTGGTGACACGTATTTGAGTTTATTACCCTCAATTTCCAATTTCTTAAGATTCCCGAGTTTATATACCGAGATTGGTAAATCCTGTAATTTGTTATTTGACACAACCAATATCTCCAACCATTCAAGTTTCGAAATTTCAGAAGATATTTCTGTTAACATATTACTTCGCATGTCTAACTTTTTTAGTTTACGTAGTTGATACACTGACGCAGGAACCTCATCTAATATGTTACCAGATATGTTCAAAATCTCCAAGTTTTCTAGTTTTGATATATCAGCTGATAGAGATGATATTTTATTTTTCCTCATATCCAATTCCTTGAGCGATTTGAGTTGGTATAACGAGGTAGGGATTTCTTCTATTTGGTTATCAGATAAAACCAGTTTCTCCAACTGGTCAAGTTTATTAGACATATCAGAGGATATACACCTTATCATATTCTTTCCAACATCTAATTCTGTCAGCATTTTGAGTTGATACACCGATGATGGGATTTCCTGTAGACTGTGGCCAGATATAACCAGTGATTTCAACTGATTGAGCTGAGCAATTTCAGGCAGTAGGGATGTGATTCGATTATTTCCCATGTCTAGTTTCTTCAGTGTCTTGAGTTTGCATACTGTAGGGGGGATCTCGTGTAGTTTGTTATTCGACACATTCAACATTTCCAAACTTCTAAGTTCAGAGATATTGGTTGAAATTGACGTTATACTGTTACTCTGTACGTTCAGTTCTTTCAGACACGTGAGTTTGTATATGGAACTTGGAATTTTTTCTAGATGGTTGCATGATAAATTCAGTATCTCTAACTTTTTAAGTTGAGAAATGTCTGGTAGTATTCTTATGTCATTACTCCCCACATCCAGTTCCCTTAGCTTCCTCAGTTGGTATATATCAGATGGGATTGTGTGAAGTTTATTACTAGAAACAATCAGTATTTCTAACTGATCAAGTTTTGATATATCAGACGTGACAGTTGTTATTTTATTACCTCTCATGTCGAATTTCTTCAATTTTCTTAGTTGGTACACATCATTGGGAATTTTACGAAGGTTGTTACAAGAAACAATCAACGTGTTTAACTGCTTGAGTTTAGAAATTTCTGTCGCTATAGATGATATGTTATTACCTCGTATGTCTAGTAACTTTAGTTTATTGAGGTGGTATAGATTATTTGGGACTTCTTGCAGGTTGTTGTCAGACACTACCAGTATCTCCAAATTTTGTAGCTGAGAGATGGAATATGACAGAGTTGTTATCAAGTTGTTCCCCACGTTCAATTCTGTAAGAGACTTCAGTTTATATACCGCATCAGGAACTGTTTTTATCTGATTACATGATGCATTCAACTTCTCTAACTGGTTAAGTTGAGATATCTCAGGCGGTAAAGATGTAACGCTATTTCCTTCTACGTCTAATATCTTCAGTGACTTCAGTTTCAGTACACATGATGGAATGTTATCAAATTTGTTTTGTGATATGTCTAGTATTTTTAAATGTTGAAGCGTTGATATTTTGTCTGGTAGAGCTGACAAGTTGTTTTTTCCCAGGTATAATGCCTTCAGATTTGTGAAACGGCATAATTTTGTGAAACTTATTTTAGATATCTGCTTTCCTCTGAGATCGATCTCTTCAGCTGAAGCGTCATACTTCTCCAATGAATCCATGTCTGCAAAATAATTCACATTAACGCATTTGGCAGAAGGCAGTTTTCACATTCAACTTATAGACATTATTATTACAATAGACAAGCACAGTCAGGGCGATTAATTTGTTTTTGTAGTTTAAATAAAATTAAAAAAAAATGGAGGTGTTAGCGCGAAATCGCCCCGACTGGTTTATTCTGCAGGAAATTCATTGTTATTAAATATTCATGAATGCACTCATTATAATGAGGTGGGCGCGGAAATACGTGCATAATGAGGCCAATATGGCCAAGGTCACACTGTAGACCCAACATGGCACACGTTGAAATTCGAGTTTGTTGTAGTCGTTGTTTCTAATTCATCACAATGTGTAAAAAGTAACTCGTGCTAGTCGTAGAATTAAACAAAAATTGGCTGCTACAATCAGCCGACGTCTTCTCGGTCAGAGGTCAGTTGAATAAACCAGTCTGGGTAATTTGGCGCTAACACCTCCGTTTCGCAAAATGTTTTATTTCATTTAAACTACAAAAACAAATTAATCGCCCCGACAGCGCCAGTCTATTATTACACCAGTGTTAATTTATACATGTGAACAATAACGGTGTATATAGCAGTTGCCTTCAGTGAGCTTTACGGTTAATAATAAACTGTCACTTATTTATATATAAAACACTTATTTTACACTGGACCAAAAACATGATTCAATTCACTATCACACGACAGCATTGGATACCTTTCATGGAACGGACATAAGTGTTGAGATCCATTAAAGGATGAACAATAACTTATAAAACAAAGCCCCATGTTCGTCAATTAACCCTTTTATTTGTGGTGATTCAACAACGCTGTAGACAACCATATAATAGTCTCACAGGCACGCAATGTGCTGTAAGTTAATCTTTGATGACTAACGTTTTTCAACATCGACATACATAAACAGAAGCGATAGTATGTTATACAGCATCACGGTTACTAAAAAAGACGGATAGGAAACGAACCATGTTCTTTTCATTGGATGCGTGTCGCGGGCAAACATTTGAAACAAAAGACGTACTAATCTGTGATAAATCATTAACATAAAATGTAGACAGGAAATCACGCAAATATGACGTAATTTTCCCAGAGTTCATTGCAATCAACAACTGCACGCCATTTTATTGTGTCTCTGTTGATACTTTCAGTAATACTAAAGTGTAAGTTGTTCCAGTGAATCCTGACAAAACCTGTCGCTCGGTTTAAACTCAATACAAATTTGCCTTGGTTGTATGGCATTTTCGTTTCTAAAGAACAAGATCGGCAGAAAACTGAAATAAAAACCAACAAAACATGATCAGAAAAAAAA